GTTACTTGGCAGTCAGAAAAGGGACAGAAACGGGCTTGCATACATCGTTAGGCAAGATTGCTGAAACACTGGAGGACAAGCCAAAGGGGATCCTCCCCTGGGGGGAGGAGTTCTCAGGTTGGGGGGGGGGGGTCTTCCTGCAAGCCTTGTGGCAGCTGCCTCTGTGATTCATCTAGGAGGTAGGCTTGGGGGGGGATCGATCCACCGCCTGCCTCTTTAACCTCCTTGATAAGCCTCCTTTTGGCCCTTTGCTGCCTCCCCTGCCCTTGGCTAATGCCTCTGCGATGGTTTCTCACCTTTTTAAGGGCTCCTCAGAGCCTCCGGTGGTGGTGTTGCTGGAGGGCTGAGAGCTGGGCTCCTGCAGGCCCCCTCTGAGCTGCTGGGGGGCGCCATCTTGGACCACGTGGTTTCAAGATGGCCCCCGGCTCCAAACTCAAAAGGCTCCTCTTTGCTGGAGTACATGGAAATGGCTTTTGCCTTTGCAGGCTTGCCATGCGGCTACCGCTGCCGCTCTCGCCTCCCCCTGCCTCCCGCAGCTCTTTCTGAGCCTTTCCGTCTCTCACTTGTCCACTGGTGATAGCTGCCAGTGCAGGCTTTCCAGGGCGTTTTAACAACCCTCGTTACTCAACCCCTGAGGGGAGCGGAGGAGCGCTTCTGCTCCTGAGAAGCCTCTGCGGCAAGGGCTGCCTCTAGGAAGCATATGCTCTGTCCTCCTGCTTGCCTGGCAAAGGTCCTCACTGGGTGATTCCGTCTCACTCTGTGGCCAGAGCAGCATGCTGCCCCAGGGGGCTTGTAGCAGTCCAGTCCTTGCAGGAGGAGGCTGTGTGCGATGTAGGGAGGCAGGCTTCGCTGGATCCAAGTTTATTTTCCTTAATCCTTTGTAAATTACTGGAGGTCCAGAGTGGTGCAACCTTTCCATTGAGTGGATGAGTCAAATAATGGGGAAGTTCTGCTGGCCAGGGGGCGTTGCCCAAAGAGCTTATCTGACTCATCCAATCATGAGAGGACAAGGTCAACCCACTCTGGATATTCCTCCCCCCTCACTATGGAGAATAACAAGAACAAAATCACCAATCTGTACATAAACCAAGTTAATTTGTGGTAACTGTGAGACAGAATGGTGGGAACAATATTAGCTCATCAACTGGAGAAGTCTCTAAGATGTCAGGATAGAAGTTACATTTGATTAATCTTCCTTGTCAACTTCCTTGACTCTCTGAAGAGTTTTCCCCTTCATTCAGTTTTCCCTGCTTTGCTCAATGAAACATGGAATGAATTCAATTGTTTTCCCCTGTCTACATGCCTTCTTTGAAGGGAATGGATTGGTTTTTCAGTTTATGCAATTGTCACATTTTGTTTTTTTCCATAGTCTCTATAAACCATTAGAAACATGATAATGTAAGTATCTATTATATCTCTGCTTTTCTCTAGCTCTTTAGAAGTAACTCACATTCACTTCAGCTATGATTACTAAGGGCTTCTCCACATGTAATATTTATGGCACTCTATTTATGGGCTTGGTATATAGTCAATGTTCTTTATTAACTACTAACCTAGCTGAAAAGCAGGAAGAAACACAGTGAAGATAGGACTGCAGTACTTGTTTTTGTTTGTTAGATTTTATATTTACAGATTTCATGTCTGCATATATAAAAATTCTTCCCATTTTTCCCACAACAAGTATTTTGTAAAGTTGGTTGGCTAAAAGAGAGGACAGGCTCAAAGTTACTCAGTGAATTTCCATGGCTAAGAGTTGAACCTGGATCTCCTTGAGTCTACTCCAGTACATAAATCACCATTTGGCACTATTTCACACTGAAATGGGTAGTTTCTGACTGGTGAAAATTCCTGTCTTGCCTATTTCCTGGATCCCCAACTTTATTTCCTCCTTACTGGAGCAAGATGTTATGGTACCATGTTATCATTTTAATTGTGCTTTTTTAAAAAGTTAAAAATATACTTACAAAAAATGAAAATTTAAGCCTTGACTAAGTATATTGTGGCATTGTCCATGTTATATGATCAGGCTAAAGGATAAGGATTGAATGAATTTTGGTTAAGCAATAAAAGATGCTTTTTAAATAGTAAGTGTATCACTTGGCCTCTGAAAATTATTGTTACAAGACATTTATTGAGCTATAATGGTACTTCATGATGTTATGCAATAGAGGAAGCCATGATATCAAGCAAGAAGGTCATCATATATTTATCTGCTTCAATAAGAGAATGCTTAGTCCATGTAGATAAATTCACTTCTCAGGCTTGGACAGACTTAGAGTTTCAAGGGCTCTCCTTTATGGTGTTAATTCAACTGGATATGTTATTTAAATATATGTCATAGTGCAAGGCAATTATGTTTTTAAAATACAAAGGCTGATGCTCGGGGCTAGATAGTATCAAACAAGAACATGAGCAATATTTCATTTTTAAAATGTCAACCAAGTCTAATTTCCTCTTCTGGCAGACTTACAAATGGATTTCAAATTCATATATATCTTGGAATTCCAAAGGCACCTCATATCACAAATGCTACCAGATCAGGGATGAGTTGCTGCTGGCATTACTGCCAGTTCAGTGCGCGTGCAATTTTGCGTGCATGCCAGATGCAAATTCTGCTCACGTGCACATTTGATCATAAACGCAATAAAAATTGATCTGCGCATACACAGAAGCAAAAAACTAAGATGGCTGCGCCTATGTCGCCGCTGTGAGAACTGGTTCAGGGGCGTGGCAGGCCTAGGTCTCTGCCGGTTCCAGTGACCCAGGTCACCAAACTACTACTGGTTCGGTCGAACCAGTCTGAACTGGTTGGAACCCACCACTGTACCAGATACATTCCTAGTTTAATTAGTAATCCTTGGATTTAAAAAAAATAAATATTAAATTTGTGACTCAATTATCTGAAAATTTCATTTCCATAATTTAGTATTGTTACTTGTGTTATGGAGTACCATCAAACTACCAGATTCTTGTAAATATTATCCTTCTTTTTTAATAGAGATTATTGACAAATACCAGAAATCATTATCAACATCACCCAAAATACTGCATCAATCCCTATGATCCACATTGTCTCCAGTAAATTGTTTTCCCATTCCAGCCCTCATATGTACTTGATAAAATACTAAAGTCTACTGGAGTGAATTAAGGATCACAACAACTAAATACCGTATATACTCGAGTATAGGCCGACCCGAATATAAGCCGAGGCACCTAATTTTACCACAAAAAACTGGAAAANCAGAAGCTGGGACAAGTAACGGGAGCTCATTCCGTTACGCGGCGCTAGGGATTCGAACCACTGAACTTTCTGATCCACAAGCTCAGCATCTCAGCCACTGAGCTACCTTACTCTGTCTTACAATGGATTTAAAACATGTATTTTCTCGGCTCTAGGTTTCTCCATTCAACATACATGAAGGTGGGAATCTACCCTTTTCCAAATAATCGTGATGCGATGCCTGTAATACAGTCCTCTATATGCATTAATTCACCACGCCGGTCTAATCTTTACCCAACATTATCCAAACATCTGAACACATAAGCAGAAACGCTGTAGGCAATCCAATTAAGACATCAGGTTAACTTAGTCCACGGTTCCTTCTCGATTAAGGGAGCAGAAGCAATAAAGTGCCAAGATTTTAGTATAAATAGACTTTATTGAAGTCAGTACACTTCTGTAGTGAAGCTGAAGGTCGCGTCTACATAAGCACGTTGTAACATTTCACAACTTCTAAAAGGAATGTCAACAATTACAACGATCATGCATGCCATGGTCGATAAATCACATTTCAGAAGCATTTTTTTTCCCAACCATTTCTAAAGAAATGCTTACAACATTGTTATAGAGAGAGAGAGAGAGAGAAAACTACTTTTTTTTTTTAATAAACTGCAAAACATTGATCAGCGTTTGCCCCCGTCGTATGAGTTACAGCGTGAAGACAATAAAAAGAGAGCATACATCCTTTTAATGTATGAAATCAAAATGGAATATTTACTGTAAAGGAAAATTAAAAAGCTCCCGAATCAAGGCAAAAAAAAAGAGCACAACCTGGAACTGAGGAAACTCCGTTTTATCGTTTTTCCGCTGTTCTCTGAGCAAGTTCGACTCAACAAAAAAAAAGGCAAAAGTATCAGTATTGCGAGTATTCCTTGGACTGGAGCTTGACGATGATACGGTCCAGCTGCCTCTTGGCTTCGCATTGGGGGAAGTTGCTCATGTCGTAATATTGGGGAGCAATTTTCACCAACCTGTCAAAGGAAGGGAAGAGCCTGTCACGTACAGTCGAAGCAGTGGAATGCGTAAAGGGGACGATGATGCCAATTACCTCCCAAAGACCCATTAGATCACACAGATTAGGCCTCCTCCGGGTTCCGTCTACTAGCCAANCTGGATGACTGAGAACCTCCATGAACATTCTTAGTTTATAGCTTCCACATCAGTGTATTGTCACAGCCTAGTTTATAATTTAATCTTGAATTTTCAATAAGAGCCAAATCATTTGGGGGAGTGGCTGAAATACTGATTTCCATGTCTGCTGTTCCCAGCTGCTGCAGAATTCAGTTTCAACCTAGCTGTTTCCTCCTCCAGAGCACAGATGGCTTGCTGGAGATGTAATTTTCAGCTAAGCATGATTTTTTTTTTCTTTTTTAAAAAAATGTCATCGTTCCTGAGAAATAACTAAGCGGAAGCACCACCAAGGTAAAAGCACCGCAAAACATAACATCTATGCTTTCGTCCAGCTAAAACCTCACTTAGCGACTGCCTCCTTTCGTGACCGCCATTGAAAAGATCAGCAATCCTCATATTTCTGATCTTCGCAGAGCCGCAAGGGAAAGCTGAAGTTGGATTGTAAGCGGGGTCGTGGTTTTCCTTAGCGATTCTTCGCTTTACAGCTGAGTTGCCAGCCCCGGTTGTGGTCGCTAAATGAGGACTGCTTGTAGAATATGAGGAAACCAGACCACAACAAAAGCAGATCCAGGATACACCGAGTGTCATGCCCCCATCAGAGCCTGAATCTGCGGAGGAGGACAAGCCAGAGCTAGTAGATCGAGGAGGTAGCGTTGGAGGAATGTGGGGAGGAGCAGGCTAAGGCAGCCCAGGGCCCCTCCGGATTGGGACCACTTGTTAGCCGGGAAGAACGGGGGCAGGATGACCGAGAGAGGGCAAGCAGTGGAAACGAGGAACGATGGAGCAAGGACTGCCCCCTCCTGATCCCCGAGCACCGAGAGTGGAGAGAAAGCGCGAACAGTGCAGGCCGACCCAACTATCCAGGAGGAGAGCGCCCCACCCCTCTTCACAAGGCACACTGGGGACTGAGACTTAAGGAGGCACTGTGGGGAGGGGCACTTGTCGGGAACCAATGCTGAATTGGTAAGAGTTGGGTGTGCCAGTACAGACATTTGGAATTTGCAGGACTGCTTGCTTCTGCCTTACTTGTGAACTCCGTACCTTCTTCCTGAATTCGTGGACTTCATACCTTCTTCCCGACTCATCGTTTTTTCCTTGTTTTGTGG